GTACCACACACACACACACACACACACACACACACACTCTTTAAATAACAGCGGAGTTTTTGCAAACGGTTAAGGGAATGAAGAGTTAAGAAGGAGCAAGGAGAGGACAAACTGCAATGTACATGCACCAACTCTGCAAGGTAAATCTAGTCATATACACTATGAAACACTAATGACAAATATGGGAGAAAAATAATTAGCAATATTGAAAATAAAAATCATTGGGCTCTAAGAACTCAAGTCTTTATTGAAATACGTGTGCAATGTTCTGAAAAATCAAAAATTAAATATTTTTCGCCAAAATCCACTTAAATGGAAGAAGTACAGAGATTCTACAATTAAGCGATAATTTTAACTCAAGGGTCAGGCTCTTTATTATCATCAACTGCTTCTCTCTCAACCTGATAATTCTATCATGACCTGACCTGGAATAAGATCTATTAATTTTGAATATTAAATATTCTTGGGAGCTGGGTATGATGGTATATGTCTCTAATTCCAGCATTCAAAAGGCTAAGATAGGAAGACTGCAGCAAGTTCAAGGCCAGCCTGGGTTACACAGTCTATACAAGGTCAGCCTGAAAAACAACACTGAAAAACATAAAGCTCATCTCAAAAAACCTAATTTTTATTGGGCCAGCGAGACAGCTCAGCAGAATAAACGCCTGCTTAGGCAAGCACAGGGACCAGAGTTGATTCCCGGGCACCACATGTGGAGCTGGCTCCATCCCTGGGCACACTGAGCCAGCAGCAGGAGTCCTGGTGGTACACACCTGTAATCCCAGTGAAAACAGGACGATCACCATGAGTCTGAGTTGTGTAGTGAGACTGTACTAAATACATTTTAAAAAATCACACAAAAAAAAACCCCTAAGTATTCTTGGTACTTAAATTTTGAGATGGCTGGTAAGCATGAGACAGAACTGAGTACAGTATGTTTGTTCCCTTGCAAATACATACTTACCCTGGATAAAAGCCCAACATGCTAAATTCATGTCTAGAACTTTAAGACTATATACAGTATTTGTAGCTAACTTTCACTTGGTAAAAGAGAAAGATAAAATATCCCAATCCCAAAGTTGGATGGGAGACTCACTGGAAACTCTCAGTTTATTGGTGTTTATTATCTTGCAACCTTTTTAATTTCTAATTTTTCAAAACAAAAAGTTGTAAGAAAATGCAAGATTTCAGACTAAAAACTTCCATGATATTCTAAGTCAACTTTCAAAGTTGCTTTTCCCCTTGCACTATACTAAGATAGTAAGGCAGTATCTCTCACAAACAAAATAGTATTCCATAAAGGACCACTGTCCCATCAATACCAGAAAAAGTCCATTTCTTCCTTTCTAAGCAATTCTGCCCAAATAACAAAGAAGGTGATTCAAGATCTCTAAGCAACATTTAACACTCCAAGGCAGATATTTTTTAACTGCTTATCCTAATGCCACTGGGGGCTGAATGCAGGACCATGGGCATACCATACCATACCATATCTATCACTGTTATACTTTCAGTCCTTTGAGATAGTGTCTGGTACATACCCAAGTACCTTCTATATCCTGGACATTTAAGAAACATCTTGCTCAAAGAAAGAATCTGAACAATTCTGACTAGTCTGTTTTGTAGATAAGAATGTTCAAAAGTAAAATCACTTGTTCAAGGTGATACAAGCACTAAGCAACAGAGGTTAAAATGCAAACCCAAGTTTGTCTTTCCCTAGAGGCCCATGTTTTAAACTCTATCTCATTTATGTGAGCCATCTACTTAGGAACAAATGTTTTTCTTGGTATTTCTACTTTACTGAGTTTCACTGCTGGGAATTTTTCTGGCAGGGTGGAGGGGTGGTAAAAATAGAATCCAGGTCTCATGCACTTTAAAAGCAAGTGCTCTACCACCGAGCTACATTCCCAACCTTACCACCAAAGAATTTAATACAAAGTTTATAAAAATACTAACATAAGGTAAAAATTTTAGTAATTATTATTGAACCTCATATGGTTTCCCACCCTCAAGCCTTTCCTGGAAAACAGATTCCCCTTTATTAAATGGAAACACAGGCCCCAGACTCCGTAATTTCTGACTCACAAAAGGTTTCTGAAAATTGAATGTTTTGCAATGTTAACAGATTAGCAAAAGACTAAGATAGCTATTCAGCAGCAATGATTAGATGCTTGTATTGAAAAAACACACATAAAAGCTGGTCTATGAGAGCCCCGCAAGGTGGCAGACACCTGTAATCCCAGTACTAAGGGAGGCTGAAGCAAACAGGATCAAGTTTGAGCCCTAACTAGACAACTTAACAAGACCCTGTCTCAAAAACAAAAAAAGGCCTGGGGATGTAGCTCAATGGAGAGGCTCTGGTTTCAATCCCCAGTAGAATATAAACAACAAATAAAAACTAAGCCAAGCAGAACTTAAAAGACTCATTTTAGTTGAAATCTACTTATTCATCTAATGAAGATACTATTTAAAAAATAATCCACTTTCAAGGGTAGCCAAAAGAGCTCAAGATTAGACTGGGCAACATTGTTTCTCAAAACAAAAACAAAAACAAAACCCCACCTAAACTTAAGAGTAGGGATATAGTTCAGAGAATGAGGCCCTGAGTTCAATCCCTAGCACTGGCAAAAGGAAAAAAAAATAGTCAATAGCCATAAGACTACAATAACTGAAGATGGATATGGGACTTAGATTCGTGCCATTCAAGTCAGAAAAAGGCAAACCAAAATGAGCCAAACTTTACCAAATAGGAGGCATACACTCAAGTGATTTTGAAATCCTAAAGGACAGTAACCTCATAACCCACATAACTCATTTTTGTAAGTCAAATGCCCAAGAGAGCAAGCATAAGGGCGAGTTCAATCCCCGGTTCCACAAAAAAATTCCCCAGGAGAAAAAGAAAAAAAAAAAAAAAAAAAAAAACAGGAGGGACCTCAAATAGCTCAGCAGATTAAAGGGCCTGCAAGCAGGTGCAGGGGCTGGGGGTTCGATCCCCAGGCCTGCCGTGCTGACCCCGCTTCGCAGGGGGCACTGAGATGGCAACTGAGACTGGGAGTGGTGACACGGGCCTGTAATCCCAGCTCTTGGGAGGCTGTAAAACAGGCAGATCGCTGAGTCTGATCTATTAGTGAGACCCTGAACATCCTGTAGACCCTTCCCTAAAATTAAAAAAAAAAAAAAAAAAAGAAAAAGACAGGAATAGGTATTTTCCAAACTACATCTCTTTAGAAATGTGCAAAAACAATATAAAGGAAACCCACCTGTGGCCACGAATCAAACACCAGTGTAATCATTTCTATACAAATACTACACAGTAACCTCAGGAATGGAGAAGCCACACACAATGAAACATACTTCTCATCCTAGTACTGTAGAAGCTGAGGCAGGAAGATCACCGAGGTCAAGGTTAGGCTGGGTGACCTTGGGAGCTCTTGTCTCAGAAAATAAAATGTAGCTCAGGAGGCCCTGGGTTTAATTCCCAGCAAAGCAAACAAAATTTTAACAACTACTGGAGAAGATACACTACTTAAAATTTCCCACTAGCAATCAGGTGTTTTCCTTCACTTAAAAACTCACAAATGGTACTTTCATGCTGAAACGCTTGCGGACATTAAATGTTCTGCCTTGGTAAGCAGTAAGCAAATATCAAAAATAACAGCCCTGGTTTTTCCACAAAAGTTATTTAAGGCCATAAATACCACCTAAACCTATCAAAAGTTTGCATTTAAGGGAATATGCACCAGCTAGTAACTAGCACTGTACATCTATATAAACTCAAGCAGTTAACTGAGATCATTTTATGTCATTGAGGTTTAAAAACTCAAAAATACTAATTTTAAAGTCATGGAACCATAGGACTGCTGTTTTTTCCTACTTTCCAAACTGCTGAAAATATGACATTTAACATAAATCTGACCACCATGGACTTGAGGATGTCCTTAATTTTAAATTCAATTACCCAATTTGTAAAAAATTACCATGCTTCCTTGAACTTTAAAAACAGCACACTTAGACATGGCTGTAGCTGTCACAGGGCCTCTGAGTGTAGAACCAAGGCCATGGTTTAATCACTAGTACTTGGTGGGGAAAGGGAAAATAAGTTTAGACTATGTAATTTCACTCTACAAACTTCTAGGGAAAATTAACCTTTTGTATTAGGATATGATAGCTATGACTGGGTTAGGCTGATTTCACTGTGAACACAAAATCTGTACTAGTACGTAAGCATCCCATACTTCAATTATAAAAATATGGATCAACTTGCCTAGTGGACAAAGGCAAAACAAAAACCTGGAAATATCTGAAAAACACCTCCATTCTTTTTTTTTTTTTTTTTAATGTGTTTAGTACAGGGTTTACAGGGTCTCACCACACAGATCAGACTCCTAGTGATTTTCTGGTTTTTCAGCCTTCTAAACTCTGGGATTACAGGTGTGCCCCATCACAGCCTAGTCTCAATGCCCACTTTCAATCATATCTCAGTATGCCCTGGGGGGGTGGGCCGGCACAATACTCTTAGGATCGAACCCAGGTCTGTGTGTCTGCCTAAGCAGGCGCTTTAATCCGCTGAGCTATCTGGCCGGCCCACACCTCCATCATTTCTGAAACAAAAGAGTAAAAGTGAATTCTACCATGCTAAAAGTAAAACATCTGTCCAAGTGTGGTAGCACACGCCTGTAATCCCAGCACTTGAGAGGCAGAAGCAGGAGAATTTCAAATTCCAGGCCAAACTGGGGTACAGGGGCCATGAATTTAAAAAAAAAAAAAAAATCCGGTAAAACAATCTATTTTAGGTGCCTTGAATAAAAGGCCCTAATCAGAACCGGAAGTAGGCAACTATTACAGGACTTTTACAGCTGACAGCTAATTTAATGAGCGCATAGAACTACCTTCATGGAGAAATAATCCACTAGAGTCTTAAATTTCTTCAGTACAAAGTTACTTCACCCAATACGTGTAGTATGCAGGACTATCTAAACCCACGCGCATTCACACTATACCTTATCTGCATGGCCTGTACTCTGAGTCCGCTGTAATCAACCTCTTTTTGCTCAAATTCTTTCCACTCATCTTCATCCTGTGAAAGAAATACCTGATCAATCAAAGCTATTTTCAAACATGCAACTAAGCAGTCTGAGACTATGAAAAACGCACTCGTCTTCAGACCAAAGTCCTCTCTTGGGTGATCCCAAGACAGACGTGCCCACAGGTCTAATATTGAGGCCGAATTCTCAAAGACGAGTTGTTACTTTGTCAACTTGGAAAAACCAAGTAAAGAAACACCAATAGTAACTGCAACTACATTTCTAGCTCAATGTTGCCTTGACTTTTCCCTCCCCGGCTTAGGGACCAAGTCGTACCAACGCAGGTGCCCCAAAGGCGACAGCACTTCAAAAGGCAAATTCGGCCCCTGTTACGGTTCAAGTCGGGCGACAATTACTACAGCAGACGTCACTCACAAACGCCCGCAGACGGGCGCTGCGGCCCCAACCGAGTGCTCGCAGGGGTCCGGTTCCCGCGAGCCCGGCCGACGTGGGCCGCCGCGTCACGTGGCCGCCCGCAGCAGCCGTCCCGCCCGGGCCCCGCCGGCGCCTCCCCGGGAAGCAAGGCGGGG